GCAGCGCGGGGGGAAGCGGGTATTTTTATCGGTATTTTTATCCCGTGGAGCTTCCAAAGCTCCCCAGCGCCCCGGGCAGGCAGCTTTCCCAGCCGGAGCTGCGCTCCCTGCCCGCGCCCCTTGGATGCAGTGGGTGATCCTCGCCGGCACGCGCAGGCTCCGGAGCTTCCCAGGAAAAACGCACGTGGGAACAGAGCCCCCAGCCCGGCCCGTTGGGATTTGCAGGGAAAAGCAGGCCTGGAGCGGGGAGGGAGGAGCTCAGGGAGGTCGGAGCCTCCGGCTGTCACAGCTTGGGCTGCRCGGGTTCCCATCCCATCCCATCCCACCCCATCCCATTCCAGTGCTGTTGTCTCAGCTCCCCGCCGCTCTCTGCCCCAGTGCCCGGTCCCCGCAGCTCCCTCCTCATCCTCCCACATCCCCCAGCACCCCCGGAGCAGCAGCCGGCTCCGAGTGCAGCCAGGAGCCGCTTCCAGGCGCCTGGAGCTGCGGGAGCGCCGGAGCCGCCGGAGCGGAGCCGCCCGGCGGGCTCTGCCCGGGAGGTGGCAGCCTCGGCCCAGCCGCACGGGTACCGGGAGGCACCGAGGAGGAGGAGGAGGAGGAGGCCGAGGGCATGGAGGCCGGAGGCTGCGGTTCCCTCCAGCGGGAATGATGCTCCGTCACCCGCTCCGCCGCCGTCCCCGGGTCACCGGCCCCAGTGTAGGGCACCATGCGGGGCAAGCGCAGCTTTGCTGGGCTTGGCTGCAGCTCCGCCCGGTCGCTCCGCTGTTGAGCTTTGGTGTGGAAAATCCCTGGGGAGACGCCAGGGCTCCGGGGGGCCGCGGGGCTGCGCGGGCCGGGCCTGCGGGCCGCGGGAGGGCGCCGGGGGCGCCGGGGGTGCCGGGTTTCCCCGGGGGGACGGRGGTTGTTCCTCGTTCCTCAGTGTCCCCTGGGACGGGGGGCCGGAACCCGTCGGGGATGGGGAGGCTCCGGGGCAGCCCCGCGGCCCCGCTGCGCCCGTCCTCCCTGCCGCCTGTGTGCGCCTGTGCCCGACTGTGTCCGGCTGTGCCCGACTGTGCCCGACTGTGCCCGACTGTGCCCGACTGTCCTGCCTGTGCCTGACTGCCTGGCTGTGCCTGACTGTGCCGGCTGTGCCCGACTGTGCCTGACTGTGCCTGACTGTGCCTGACTGTGCCCAACTGTGCCCGACTGTGCCGGCTGTGCCCGACTGTGCCTGACTGTGCCGGCTGTGCCCAACTGTGCCACTTGTGCCCGACTGTGTCCAGCTGTACTGCCTGTGCCTGACTTTGCCGACTGTGCCCGGCTGCGCTGGCTGTGCCCGACTGTCCTGCCTGTGCCTGCCTGTGCCTGGCTGTGCCTGACTGTGCCTGGCTGTGCCTGACTGTGCCCAACGGTGCCGGCTGTGCCCGACTGCGCCTGACTGTGTCTGACTGCCCAATGGTGCCAGCTGTGCCAGCTGTGCCTGACTGTGCCCGGCTATGCCCGAGGGTGCCCGACGGTACCGTCTGTGCCCGACTGTGCCCAACCGTCCCACCTGTGCCCGACTGTGCCGGCTGTGCCCGACGGTACCATCTGTGCTTGACTGTGCCCAACCGTGTCCGACTGTGCCGACTGTGCCAGCTGTGCCCAACTGTGCCCGCCTGTGCCTGATGGCACCGCCTGTGTCCGACTGTGCTGGCTGTGCCCGCCTGTGCCTGATGGCACCGCCTGTGTCTGACTGTGCTGGCTGTGCCCACCTGTGCCTGATGGTACCGCCTGTGTCCGACTGTGCTGGCTGTGCCCGCCTGTGCCTGATGGCACCGCCTGTGTCCGACTGTGCTGGCTGTGCCCGCCTGTGCCTGATGGCACCGCCTGTGCCCGACTGTGCCGCTTGTGCCCAGCTGTGCCTGGCTGTGCCCGGCAGGGCCATGTCCTGGGGCCCCTGCACAGGAGAACACCTGGATAAAAACCCCGACAGCCCCGGGTGTCTCCAGTGCCCTCAGGTATCCCCGCACCTCCCATGGGATGAATCTCTGCAGCAAAATGGGACACAAGAAACGAGGTTCCCGTGGTCCCAGTGCGGGATGGACCTGGGCTCCTGGCATCAGCCAAGCACCCACATGGCTCCTGCATTCCCAGTGCATCCCGGCGCTTTGGGTCCCAGGGATCCCTTTCCCAGGGCGCAGGTCTTTCCCGGGGCGCTTTTCCCAGGTCCCGGGTGGGAGCCGGTGTCGCCTCCTCATGCCCTCCCGCCTGGTTCCCTGAGTCACGGCGGCTCCTGGCGCCGCCGCCATCGCGGYTCCCTGACCAACGCTTTCCACTTCCCTTTTATTTTCCATATTCCCATTTCTCATTATTTTAATCATCCTACTTGGAGAAAAACACGCCAGGGCTTCAGGGAGCTGCTCCGCTGCTCCGCTCCCGCCCCAGCTGGTCACGGTGGGATGGGATCAGGAATCCCAATCACATCCCTGTCTATCCCACATGTCGGATGCCCGCGGGACCGGGATCTCTGCCCAGCAGCGGGACGGGCGCCGGTGCTGCCCCTGGCTCCGTGGGTGCCGGGGAGGCTGAACGTGGCCTGACGGGTTTGCAGAGAGGCTCGTCCCGCTCGGCCGGATTTTTTGGCGAGGTCGGAGTCGGCCCCGGCACCAGCCGCTTCCCGCCGGGCGGCTCCGCTGGGTCACGGAGCGGCGCCGGGTTCAGCCGGCCAGCGGCATGGGACACATCGGGATATGGAGCAGCCCCTTCCCGTCCCGCTCCATGGGGGTGGCACGTGGGATGCGCCTGGAGGGAGATCCGGGATGGTGTCCTGGGCACYGGGAACTGCCCGTGGTGACACGGAGGGTCTTTTTTCCAGGACAAAGGCCGTGGTGGAAGGATGCAGGACCAGGCGCTCCGGAGAAGAGCCTGGAGGAGCAGTGGCCGTGCTCCCAAAGGCAGGATGTGCGGGAACGGGGCGGATAATCCACGATGGCTCGGGGCGGCCTCCAGCCACAGGGCCCTCAGCCTGGAGGACAAGGCTGGAAATTGTCCCCAAATGGCCGCGGCGCCAGTCCCGGCACCCCGGGAGCGTCGGCAGCCGGGACGGGGATGATGAAAGCGGCTTTGATGGGGCTGGATTAATGGGCAGCGCGGGCGCCGACGCGGCCGGCGCCACATCAAAGAGGCGGGCAGCGCGCGGGGACCCGCCGGTGCCCGCGGGATCTTCCTGCTCCGGAGCAAGCGGGGAAGCCCGGGCAGATTTTCCTCACTGGGGCCTGGGCAGAGAGGGAGCAATGGGGAGGCTGGGTGGGAGTCGCAGGGCTCAGCCCTGCAGTGGATCCGGCCTCTCCTGGAGCGCTCCCGGTCCGGGGGGATTCCTGCTGCATCCCTGCCGGATCAGGGAGCTGGAGTGACCCCGGCATGTGCGGGACCCCCATGCGCAGCCGCTCCCTGCACCACTCTGCAGCCGTGGCCTCCAGGCCCGCGACCGCTCCGAAGCCGCCCCAGATCCCGCCGGGAAGGGCAAACACAGGAGCTGGGCGGGARCGATAATATGGGCACCTCCATAATATGGGAGGGGGGGCCCCGGCCTGATGCAGCCCCCCCAAAGCCCTCCCGCGTGGGGCCCCACCCTGCCGAACCCTGTGCAGGACCAGCACCTGTGCATGGGGGGCAGTGCAGGGGGCTTGGGGTGCCCATATGTTGGGGGGTACACGGGGGGGCTTTAGAGCACATGAGGGGGGCAGTATTGGGGGGTCCGTGCATGGAGTGGGGCAGTGCTGGGGGTCTGTGTGTGGTGAGAGGGATCTCTGGAGGGGGGTCTGTGCATGGGGGGTCAGCGCAGAGGGCAAGTCCCCTGCAAGGAAGGGGTCCATGCACGAGGGGAGTCCTGTGCATGAGGGGGGTCCATGCACGGGGTGTTCGTGCATGGGGGGGGTGTCCATGCATGGGGGGATGTCCATAAATGTGGGGGGATCCATGCTTGGGGGGTCCATGCATAGGAGGGTCCATGCATGGGGTGTTGTTGCATGGGAGATGTCCATGCATGGGAGGGTCAGTGCATGGGGGGAGTCCCATGCATATGGAGGGTCCCATGTATGGGGGTCTCCCGTGCAGGGGGTGTTTTGTGCATGGGGGGTCCCGTGCATGGGGGTAGGCTGTGCAGAGCGGGGTTGGTGTACGGGGTGCTCGTGCACGGGGTGCTCGTGCACTGTGGAATGCTCGTGCACGGGGTGCTCATGCACGGGTGCTCTGTGCACACCAGGAGTGCTCGTGCACGGGGTGCTCGTGCACGCGCGGCCTCATTCCGCTCTGCGCATGCGCGGGAGCTGCCGGGGGGGGG